TGGATGGACTTTTAACCTGACCCAGCCTGGCTGTTCCCATGTTTTCAACAGGGCTGACATTGCCTGGAGTGTGTTTGAGTCGAGTCACGCAATCAGCTCTGACAGCAGTGCTGTAGAGGTGGCGCGGTGGCTGGGAAAAGGAATAGCTGTTCACAGCTTGCTTTTCATTCATGTTGGCAAAGCTCAAGCCCCAGTGCCTGCTTCATATTTAATCGTCTGCCCTAAAATAAAAATACCAAGCAAATCACATAGGCAGTTAAGTCCTGACAGAAGCAATACAAAAGAAAAGGGGAAGGGTGGATATGCATACATATATGTCACAATAGGGTGGAGGTAATCCAGAAGATCTCAAATATAAAGTTAATACATTGCAAAAGTCTTATTATTATAAATTAAATGTAAATTACCCATTTTTATGAAAAAAATCAATAGATCTTGTCAATTTAAGAATGGCATGACTAAAGGAAAGTATCTATGGAGTATTATGGAAACCTGAATACGATTCTTGAGAGGGAGCAAAACCACACACAAGTGCTAGGGCTTTTGTGGCTGTCCTGCCCTTCACAGTGGGAGGGTCAAGCACCCATAGCCCTGCTGCTGCTCCTACAACACCTGGGGAGAAGCTGCAGTCACCTTCTTCCTACCTCCTCCATACTCTGTCAGCTATTCTCTTAATTAGCCCCTGTATTCAGAAACACAAGGACCAGAGCCATGCTCTCACTAATGGCCCTTTGCACAAATAAAGTCATAGAATTTCCTTTAGATATAAAGCTAAAGGAATTTGCTGGGTGATGCCATGGGGTGCACTAGGTTCCTGCACAGAAATGCAAGGCGTCTCGTTTGTGGATGGGATTAACACCAGTTCAGAGCATCTACCTGACAGATTTTGATCAGTTCAGATGTACCTGTGTAGCTACGCCACTGGCTAAAGCCTCCAGCCTTAGGCTATTTGCTGCTTTTTATCCTTGTTTTAGCTACCATCTCTAACACATAAGAAACATGTCATGAGCCATGACAAGCAATTGAGATAAATGCCAACCCTTGTAAACCTTCAGACGAGAGGCTGCATTTCTGTTATGTTCCAGCGCATTTGCGGAAGCTATCAGAAGCCAGCAAGGTATAAACAAACACAACAATTCTAATGCCAAGTGCCTACAATTAAAAACAAAGTTCTCTTCTGCTCCAATTACTTGCTTCCCCAAGACCTTTTACCAAACCAAGGAACACAGCATTTAATCTATTTATTTCTAAGGTTAAGCCAGAACAATTTTAATGCATTTTTATAACCCACAGAGAAGTGCACAAGCTCATTTCCCCCTCTTAGGCCACCTTTATCATGAGAGCTTTATTCTAATGAAATATAAATGTGCTTTCTAGTCAACAGTGTTACTGAGGTCCAGCAAAGCTTCAGGGCTACACACATTAGTTTTACACTTTTTTTTAGTTTTATTTGCAAAGAAGCTAAAAATGCTGAGCTCCCTTGGCATGAGGACTCTCAAGTACCTCTCTATTGGCTTGTGCCTTGCTATTGGAGTGGTATACTTACAGTACACAGCTGAAATGTGAAAACTGAGCTTTTTTCCACAGTGCAGAAGTTTTTAATTTTTCAGGTTCTGCATTTTTCCTTCAGCCATCTGTCAGTTTTATGTGTTTCTCCTATTCTTCCACCCCACAATAAAAAAAAGAACACCTCTTGGGGGAAAGCATTTTCCCCCACACCCTACTGTCTTTTTATTTTCTGGTAGCCGACATTCTCTATCAAGTCAGATCCTGTACTAGCAAGAATTTGATTCTCTGCCCTACCCCACAGCAGACTCAGGTCTCTACCTTGGGTTTCAAAGCATTTTGTCTGAAGATACAGAGTGTAAATCTCTGAAACAGCCAAAGAACTAAAATAGTTGCAATTATTACTTCTCATATACATATACTAGGTAGCAAACTGAAGCTTTATTTAAACAAAAATAAACGGTCTCACGGGGGAAACCAAAGGCAATGTTTCCCCCCCCTCCAAGCATAGCAAACATTCCTAGTTGGACCCTCTTCACCTCTTGCAGAGGGAGCTGTGGTGTTTGTGTGCTTGTAAAGTACTTTCCATGCAGTGTAACCCAGTGATTACTACAACAGTCCTAGACAAGTAATATGAAAGCTTTAATCAGCCAATTTTTCTAGTACAATTAAATCACTGTGAAGTACCTCTCTAAGGGCAAAGGTATATCCAGAAATTAAAGTAATTCAGGAACAAATTACACAGTCCTTGTGTTAAGTAAAAGTACTCTTTTTTTGCTCTTACTGGTAGCGCTAACCAGCTATCTAGAGGAAATATTTTGAAACACTGTAATTTAAAAACCACCAAACCATCAAAAACAGTACAGGAACTTCTGCACAACAGCTTTGGATTTTGGGCTTCTGATCTCTAGGAAAGCTTTTGGTTAATGAACCGATTATTACCCACTGCAGGCAGGTTCCAGACAGCAAGTTACCACCATGCCTGTCCCCTGCGCTCCTCACTCATGAATCCCAGGGCGGGCAAGTCAGGTACCCACGCCGCTCACACCAGCCTGGAAGCCACCCAGGGCAGCTAGCCCAATAGCCATGTTCCACTCTTTTCATGCCAAAATAAACCCTTTTGTCTGATCTTTGTTAGTTTATTTCCTGGAATTATACGGAGTCTTGGAGAGGGTTAGTAGAACAATATCTTCGAAAGATACTGTGGCTTTTAGGTCCAGAAGTACCTTCTCCGAAATATGCTCCACTTCACCAGGCACAGCATACCATAGCTTGATTGCTAACAGTAACTGCTACGCTGTGAATTTAACCATCAGCAATAACATAAAAAAGCATAATCAACCACCCTAATTTACTCTGCTCCTACTGTAGTAAAGGCATTAACTTAAATTAGACCTTACAGTTATGCCTGATCATGTAGCCATTTTTTACGGTCGTCCAAGATGAGGCATAAAGAAATGCAAATTTCAACAACAAGCATGCACTAGTTAAGCTGACTAAACAGGTATCTTTTGCACAGATCTAAACTGATATTTTAAGTGTTACGTTAATGTATTAGGAAAGGCTGGTCAGCACTTTAAAGCTTTATAGGGAGCTTTGTTTATTTAAGGCTGTGATTTTTAACTGAAATATTTCTACCCGCTCAATGTGGGTTGCAATTACACTAGTACAGAGGGGACTCCAAGAGCTATCCTCCTTTCCCATTTTCATCTCCTGCAGCTCATTCCTAATCCAACCCCCATCCCATTTTTACTGACACAACCATTTATGTAGCCATCCACTGAAAGGAAATGAGAGGCTAATTCAGGATAAAATCAACTCTTTTGGGGAACAGAGTTTTTATTTATTGCCAGTAGTAGCAGTAATATTTTCCAACACAACCGCCGAGAAGCCTGGAGAGAGATTTCTTAGAACTATATAAGCACTAAGTACATGGCACCATACTCTTAGCCCATTTTACAGCAAAACAAAAGGTTACCTTGAGCCCTTCCTTAAAATAGCCTGTTTTTCTCTGCACTGAACCAGAGCAGAAGCATTTCCATGTTCAGCCATTATAGTTCATGTGGGACTGGGGTGACACCAGGTAAGGGCAAGCAGCTGTGGGGTGTTAACATCATAAACGACTACAGCAGTTTCAGAAGCAAAGCTATTGCACAGAAGCAATTTAGGTCTGAATTCACACTTAGATTTCTGTTAACTTTTTGCAGATTTACATTTACAGATGACTGTGGACGTAACCTATGAGTACTTCTATTTCCAGACAAAAATGCATCAAACTGTGGCTAGAATATTTTTGTAATACTTACATTTTCACAAGGAAATATTTGCAGATATGCCAGCTACATCTTCTTGGTGCCTCCAGTTTAAGATACCATGTTGCATGTAGTGCATGTGCTGTGTGTAATAACTTTTGTGCTGTACTTGTAAGCCACAGATAGACAGATACAGATATTATGATGCAATATTATTAACAAGTCAGAAAATAGCTCAAAAAGTGCAAGATCCATGATCTCAATTTCTAGCAAAATCACTGAAGATCACAAGAGTTGCTTAGTGAAAATGCTCCCAAAGACCTCAACGGCTTTGGGAACACGCCAATAATTTAAGGCAAGTCAACCTCTGTTTTACCCTAGAAATACATTCAATTCTCACTTCACCATATGCAGTTTGCCCTTGCTCCAGATTAACTGCACTATACATGAAGACACCAGAGAGTTAACCCTGTATAGGGTCAGGTCTGGCCAAGTAGGTTTTGTTAGTTCCCATGCAGTGCTGGAAATCACAGCTCCCTTGCTTCCACTCCAGCTCAGCAATGCAGATACCTTCTGAAAGTGGCTGTGCTACCAAACCCTGACAGAGCTGAGATGACCACATATTTCAGTGCCTTTGCACTGTATCACCAGCATTTGCTGTAAATGCTCATACTGTCACAGACTTTCAATTATCCACTTGCCTTTCCCCTTCTACTGCCCTGATAACAGACTTGCCTCTACAGCCATACAGATATATAGACAAGTCTTCAGGAAAGAATGCCTTCATGCATGAAGTTGTCCTTTTGCTTTAGCATAAAGAAATACAGCTGACCGGGCAGGTAAAACACAGCAAAGATGGCATGAGATACTGGGCCATAGAAGAAAACATAGGAAAATTATCAACTTATTTGTCTTAAATGTAAGTCAAATAAAGACATAAGCTTCTTTTATAAAGTGCAAGCCCAGAGAAAATAGTGATTTTGGCCAGAAAGTGACCCAAGTTCACATTCAACTGTAACACCGGTTTTATCAGCTAGGTCATTAGATGTGACGAGCTAGGGGAAGTGAAGCTTGACAGTAATTGCCTTGTGCTATATACAAGGATTCTCCAACGAGAGAGGAACAAGGTCCACTATCTTTGCTTCCCCATGTTAATAACACAGCAATGACAATTCAAATACTTCAATAAATGACAAAAAGGAACAGTGTTACAAAACGCTTGTAAAGTCCAGCCTGACTTACCTGATTTCCGTGCTTTCAAGGCAATGACAGCAGCCAGTTCTCTCTGTACCTAAAATATCAGGAAAGGAAACGATGGTTATAGTTACTAGCCAGTCAAACAAAACAAAATGCAACACTGGTAAGATACTGGCTATCAGTCCTTTGTAGCAGTCAACTGCATGTAGAATTATGCAGGTATTTGTTTTGAAACTACAGTCACTTTTCCTAGCAAATCTATTTCCTTTTCAGCTGGGAATTCTGTGACAACTTTTTTTTTTTTTTTTTTTTAACTTTAATTTCCTGTAAATACTGCATATTCCTTAGGGAGTGGGCAATTCGGTAGCCCGACACATAATTTATTTGCACAGCATATCTCTTTCACAAGCACACACTTGAAGCTTCTTCCTTTCCTTGTTAAATATTTGTTTTGCCTCTGCCGAGCACACTGTAATGCTGGATTTATTGTGTGACTCCAGAATAAGCGAGTTCTCCACGCTGAGGTTTGGCTGACGTTCACATATATAATTGACATTTGATTTTTGGAGCTTTCAGGAGGAAACAACCTCTCCTAATAGCATGGCTGAGCATTTCAGGACCAAAATTTAGCTTGAGATGAACAGGCAGAAGTCATAGCTATCTGATTTCCAGATTTACAGGCTATCTCACCAGCCTGTGATGAAACAGCCCTACCATGCTAGCCAGCTCCCTTCCTCAGCCTCTTGTCTCTGCATTCTTCATATTTTCCCTATAAACTCTACACGACCAGCTACTGTCCTTTTAGCCAGCTCAGCTCTACATCCACTTCTCTCCATATGTCTGTTCCTTTTTCTATCAGTAAAATTCTGTATTATGCATTATTTTTATGCTTCATACTTCCTCACTGCCATCGTCTGTCCCATTGCAGCTGCTTCAAGTGCCCTGCACTTCACCTACAGCACCCCAGACACTCTCTCCTGCATACACCAGAGTTCTTCCCTTCCTCTGCCCCATCCACGCTCTCAGACTCTTCTGTACACCTCCCAGCTTCTTCCAATTTCCCTCATTTTCCCAAGACAGCCTGCCTTTAGTATTGAAAAAATTATGGGACATTCCAACTATTTTTCTAGGGATTGTCTCACCTCCCTGTACAAAGTATCCTGCGGTGCATACTGGCCCACTTGTCTAATAAACCCATGCAAAGCTCAAGGCTATTCTGCAGTGGGAGTTTTGACACCCAGGTTCTGAAAGCATGTGAAATTTAAAACATCCTTCACAAGACATATGGTATGATCAGAATAAGCACAAAGACCATGAAGGATCCCCGAAGTAAAACAATTACTAACAACTGTCAACATCCCACTCTCACGACTCTGAAGAAAATGTGAAACAAGAATAGTTAACATTATATTGGTCTGAGCAGAAAGACAGACAAAATCACCCAGGACATCTCAGTACAATGGTAACTGCAGCATCCACTGATCAGATACTCAGCAGCCACCCAGCAGTACGCTCTACATGTGGCAGAAGGCAGTCATGCTAGAGGCCACATCCCTCCTCTGCTTGCATCCTTCCTTCCCTTGTGGCAAAGGACCAGGGAGCTTTTTTTGCTGTCCTTGCAAGGTACAAGGATCTCTTCGACTCCTTGATGCTGCCCCACTAAAAGGGACAGAGTTTTCTGCCACTCCAAGCAGGAAAATATGAAGGCAGTGCCACAATTTTCTTAAATGTTGTCCTGTTTCCAGCACAATTGTGCAAGCTGGCAGTATTACCTTCCTTTCCTTCCTTCCTGTACACTCATTCCCATGTCTAGAGAACTGTTAAGCATGGTTAATGTAAGCATAAACTGCAAGTACGATGGGAAAGAACAGTTCTTCTGTGGAAAAACAACTTGTGTGCTTGCTTGCTTGCTGCAATTAATACACACTAGTAAGAATACATAGAAGCTATCCAGAGTTAGAGTGGGATGTTCAATAAAAGCCCAAGTTGTTTCTGAAGAACAACTCCACAGCTTTTCCTGGCTAAACTGCTCAGACCCTCTCCCTTCATCAAACTCAGAAGGAGGTACCAATGTCAATGCTCTGATCCTGGTCTGTTCTCACAGGTTACTGACAGTAAGAGAGAGTGCACTGATGTCTCATCTTTAACATATTTATTAAATGCTAAAAGATATCTCAAGATTAGCCTTAGGAGACACTACAATCTGGAACAGTTGTAAACATACCAATTAACCCAATCAAACAATTGAAAAATGCAAATCTCTCCATGAGTGTAAAGAAAAACCCATCTTCTCAGAAGCAGCAGCAGCATTGTGGCATCGTGCAGTTATATTTGCAGTATTACTTTTGCTTATAAGGTGGCACTTTTCAAGTTTGAAATACAGTGCTGACATCACAGGCAATAAAAAGGCTGTTTTTCTGTATTTTGTCTGTGTTATGCAAAATATCTCATTGTTTGCTGTGTGACAGGAATGCAGCTGGCATATTACTTAATCTGAGCAAAACCCTTCAGTTAAAGCAGGAGAAAAAAATGTTCCTCTAGTCTTAATATTAAGCAAACTTTCCTTTATCAAACGTTTCATCCTGATGGTCTGAGCTCCCTCTCATAGGACTCACTCACATCACAAAGAATTGGTAATGCTGAGCATCCTTCTGGATTTGCCTGGTGTCCCTAGATTTCATAATCTATAAGCTTTTGTCTATTTTAGTGTAAATGCACTTGACATCTCTGCTGGACATGCAATTCCTATGCATCATTACACCGACGGAAATCTGTGTACAACATTCATTCCTCGCTGCACACATGGTACACGTTATCATACTTCTTCCTAATAGGATTTCAGTTACTGCCTGTTTGACAAAATCGATAGTTGCACATCACATTGAAGATAATAATGTGGACTCAAAGTAAAATACACATTCAAACAAGAGCTATGCCTACCATATTGAGATATTAAATACAAAAAATTGGTTTATACATAGCTATACATTTTACAAAGCTAACACTAGCTAAATAGTATCCCATTTTGAGTAGCACTGCAGATGTCAAAACTGATTCAGTTTAAAGGCCAGCTTACCACACAGTATTTACAGAAATATTATTGAAGTCTGAAAGAGAACCTTTTGAGTGTGTTGTTGGCATGTTACCACATGATAGTCAGTTTTGGTTTTGCTATATGAAAGAGCAAGAGTGTGCATACAGAGTGTGCATACATATACCCATGTATACTTCTGCTTGATTAAATACAAATGGCATATTTATATGCTGAATCTTATCATTTTCAAAGGACAGCTGTAGAGATTTTTCAAAAGTAAATGACAACTACTGTTCTTCTCTTATCCATGAATCTGGTAATTTTATCATAGAAGGCATAGTTGGGCATGTAGTAGGCAGTGCATACCACCTCTACTTTTTTACCCCTCTCTTTTTTCTGCCTATAGTAGTCTTTTGTGAAACAGTATTCTGGGTGTCAATGTGCCAAATGGGACTTCAAATCTAGAGACAAAGTGGCAATCCTTACAGAATCTCAAAACGAAATCCTGCAACAGAAAGCTCTAAACAGCAGGGTTTTGAAAAAGAGAAGAGTCTAGTTCACATTTTTGCATCTCAAGTAATGACAGTTTGATGGACTCTGAATAAAAGTAGTATTGGCTGACATCTTAAAGTACCAGAAAACTGTATTTCCCAGATACACTGCATTAACATCCTGATATTCTCTTCTGTTCCATCACAAGGTAAGGTAAGAGCTTTGCAGTGGAAACACTCATAGTCATCCTGCTCTACTCTGGTTTTAGCATGCAAGACATTGAACATGAAGCTGCTCATTGGGACATGACATGGGATGCATGACAGCTCTGGAAGGCTTCTTTAAACCCAGGAGTAATCATTGCATTTTCCTAAAAATTCATGACCAAAAAGATTACCCAATGCAAATATATCTCAAATGGCACGTTGCACTGCTTGCAGGTCAGCTGCCTTTACAATTTAAGTTTGATGGTGTTGTCAGTGCCTCATTGTAATGGAACATATGATATGAGCATATAATTCGATAGGCTCCATTCAGTTATCTTGACTGACTCTGCTTCTTCCATTGTAGATAAAGCTTAAAGAAAAAGTAAGACCCCCAACAAGTTAGTTTCTTATCTTTTGTATCTGACTCTGCTCTTACACGAGGTGTATTCCATATATTATGCACAAATTAAGATGATAAACCTCTGCAGTTTTTTCCCAGCTGCCCTTCTGACTTGGCATCATTCACTGCAGCTATTGCTATTATCTTCTACAATCTCCATAACCATTGTTTAAAACCAAGAGTGCATTTCCCTAACTAATCAGTTCTAGACTGGCTGAATCATCAAATAAAAAAAAAAAAAAATCACATTATGCAGTGAATGGGAAAAGTGGAACTCTACAAGAGAAACAACACCTGGTAACTAAAAGCAGTAGGGTACAAGTAATAAGAGAAAGGCCAACAAAGAAAGTCAGGCTACAGTAAAGAAAAAGAGGTGGAGAGGAATTCACCAAGCTTGTACAGATGCCTATGTCTGTGCTAGTCACTCTATAACCCCTTCACAGAGAGTGCATACCTTACCAGCAGAGCCTAAGGTATGAGTGTTTTTTCCATTAAGTAGACTTTCAAAATGAATCATACATTCAGCATCCTAAAAGTGTCTATTTCTGATCCCTGGCTGTAAGGAGTACCTGGGGAAGCTAGCTCAGAGGTAGATGCCTGCCATATGGCCACTTATATTTAGGTGAGGTGAGTTCTACCCTCTGCAACAGCAATAGCTTTTATAGAGTTACAGAAATATATAATTAGACCTTACGTGCATGCATGCTTACAGTTTTTCCTGCACTTTCAGGTGCTAAAACAGTGATTTATATTTTAGGCACACAGATTCCTCCAATGTTGCTTGGGCTGGATCTTCACAATCAGTTTAGGTTTCAAAATCTGGGAATTTAATATCCAAAAAAGAAAAGCTGACACAGAAGCATCCTTCTGACCTCACACAGAATGTTCTATTCCATTACAAGAAAAGGAAAAGGAAAAGCAGAAGAGATGGTGGTACTATCAACACCAACAGGATTTGAATCTCCAAATCTAGAAATGTACAAAAAAAGTCAACTCTGATCTCTAACTGCTTTAGTGCTGGGCTGGAAGTAAGGTTTTTTTTTCACTTCTGAAATGCTGGTCTGAAGAGTATTGTGAACAGGATTCTGAATTACGAATTCTTCAAGGAAGACTGGTTTGATTCTGTACAAAATATGTAAACATTCAGTGAGCCAAAAAGCAAGACAGTGTGAACACATTTCCAGTCATGGCTAATACCTTCAATTTTGGTTTCCAGCTCCAGCTCACAGGACTCTTTTTTTTTCCATACAAATTCTGGAGCTGGCAGCAAAAAAAAAATTGAGAACCCGTATCCTGGTGAGTCCAGCCCTCTGCTGACTGGTGCAAGCTGAGGGTTCAAATTCCCTTGGAACACATGAAGGCTCTCCATAAACTCGCACTGAGTACTTTAGATCCCAGTCTACTGTATGGAGGAAAAGCAATATTCTGAAAGGATAAGAGGGAGAAGTTCATATACAGATGTGAATATTTGGAGGATTCTGCTCTGGTCTTATGTCTTTTCTCCAGGGTTAGACTAGAAAATCATTATAGACAGCTTGCACAGTTTTGTGGAAAATCAGAAAATGCAGAAGATCAGTCTTTTTGACACCACCATGGCAATAGATCAGTCTCAGGCCATCTAGAGACACAACTGCCTAATTTTTCTTTAGCTAGTTAGCTACAGCAATAAAATGGTTCATTTAAAAAAAACAACTGTCTATATGCCCTGCTGCTGGAATCATTCAGGACATAGTTCAAAGGTTTGACCTTGCAAGCTAGATGTGAAGCACTCTGAACTCACTGTCAATTACTCACGTGTTTAAGGATATGCATTTTACTCAAGTGTATCCAGCAACAGTTAGATCCTGTTCTTTTAAACTCAGAAAGTCACTTTGTTTTGTTGAGTGCTTCCCTTTTTTTAACTGATGAAAAACTATTACTCTTCTATTTTTGAGACGTGAAGCTTTTGAGGGATACTGGCAATGTTTTATAGAGTTGGTAGCTTTGTGGGTTTTTAAAAAGATATAACTTTGCAAAAATTATTTTATGTTTTTCTATTTTTTCTCTCTGTGGAACTAAAAATGGAGGATTTTGAGTTTCTGAGTTCTTTCATTTTTGGTTAGGAAAAAAAGGTAGAGAAAAAAGGAATTTGAATACAGAGAAAATAAAAAATTTAAAAAAATTAAACCACAAGATCTTCTAATGTCATACATTTTAAATTATTGTTGCATAAGGTTGAGCATACAGAGCCACTGGCTTTCCAAACACATTACAAAATGTCTTTTGTAAAGAGATTTATCTTTACAAAATATAGCACAAATTCTTCTTCCTTTCCATTTTTCAGTAATTTCAAGATAGTACTTTATTTGTTTTACTTAAAATAGCTCTTATCCTCATGCCTTTTTCATGACAACTTCACCCTGCTTGGTCCACTTTCATGTCTGTACTTTCTCACGTACCCAAAACAGAACTAGCAGTAATTCCATGTTTTGCTGATACCGTGATTTAGGTGTGACGTTCGCAGAGCCATGCAATCACACAGTGGCTGAGGTAGGAAGGCACCTCTGGAGGTCATCTGATCCAAATCCCTGCTCAAAAGCAGGGTCAGCTAGAGCAGGTTGCTCAGGACCATGTCCAGTTAAGTTCTGAACTTCTCCAAGGATGCAGTCTCCACTACCTCTCTGGGTAACCTGTTCTCCTGTTTGATCACCACCACAGTAAATAGGTTTTTTCTTATGTTTAAGTAGAATTTATTGAATTTCAGTTTGTGCCACTGCTTATTGTCCTGTTACAAGATGTCACCAAGAAGAGCCTGGCTCTATCTTCTTTATTCCTTTCCATCAGCTATTTATACACATTAGTAAGATCCTCCCATAGCCTTCTGTTCTCCAAGGTCAACTCTCAGTTCTCTCAGCCTCTTCTTGTAAGTCAGATACTCTGCTCCCCTGATCATCTTCATGGTCATTTGCATACACTGCAGTATGTCCACATATCTCTTGTACTGGTAGTTCAGAACTGGACCCAACACTCCAGATGTGTCACACCAGTGCTGAGTAGAGAGGAATTATCACCTCCCTTAGCCTGAGGGTAACGCTCTTACTAATGCAGCCCAGGAGGCAGGTGGCTTGCTGTGCCACACAGGCACATTTCTGGCTCATGTTCAACCTCCTATCCACCAGTAGCCCCAGGTCCTTTTCTGCAAAGCTGCTTTTCAGACAGTCAGCCCCTAGCCTGTACAGGAGCATGAGGTTATTTCTCCCAGATGCAAGGCATTGCATTGCCCTTTGTTGAACTTCATGTGATTCCTGTTGGCCCACCTCTCCAGCCTGTCAAGGTCCCTCTGAATGGCAGCACACCCATCTGATGTATTGACCTTTCCTCCCAGTTTTGCATCACCCGCAAACTTGCCGAAGGTGCAACTCTGCACCACTGTACAGATTACATTAGATTGAGTGAATCTAGCTTAACCCTCTGAAGTCCTGTCTGTGCTTATTAGAACAATGATCTTACAACAAGATAAATAAGATGCACCAAATTCTAGCACAGACAGGATAAGCTGTTGTTTATTATGATGGAGTTTATTGAGGCTAAATATAGTTGGGAAGCCACATACCCGGGATTCCCAGGTGGGTCTCCTCAAAAGCTTATGATAATCTACACCAGGGCTGCTGAGGCCCTTTCTCTCCCTTTGTCCCCCACCTCATCATTGTCTTCACATTGATGTCCATTTGACCAAGAGGATCTGAGTGTAAGCTACCTGGAAGAAAAGTCACCATGATCCTCCAGATTGCTACCTCTTGGGCCATGAATAGCATGGATTACAAGAGAGCAGGCTGCAGCAGTCCTTGCTTGGACTGATTTTAATAGCTTTGGAATTGCACGCTAAGACCTCAGTACAAAAAAGTAGTTTGCATTACAAACACCTGCTTGCTAAGACTAAGTCTTTCATTTGAAACAATCCAAAACACAACAATATTTCAAACATTATCAGTACAACATTTGATGCAGTGACCTTACCGCAGAAGTGAGACGAGCAAGAATTTCAGCATTGGTTTCTGCCGTATCCTCTATTTTTTGATCAGGCCTTAAAAAAATAAAAATAAGATTTCATTATTTCTTTCATTCTGTTTCGACATCTTTTGATTCCTGGAAAGCAAGGAACTGTGTAGCCACAGGCACTAATGTAAAAGGGCTTTTGAGATTCCACATCAAAATGATGACTGCAACATGACAATAATTAATTGTGTCAGTAACGACAGAGTATACCCTTTGTCCCTTGCTGTCAAGAACTCTTTTGATTGGACTCACTTAAAACAGTAAGAGTATTCTTCAGCTATAAAAATATGATGAAGAACTGAAGAATGCAGGACACTCTTAGCTCAGAGTTTCTTATTTGAATACATATTTTGCTCTGCTAAAAGCATACTCCATCAACAGAGCAAAGAGTTCTCCATCTGTCCACCACCCAGCTTTGCTAAGGTGTGGAGCAACACTTATGGAATGCCAAGCTCACATAGATAAAAGCAGACAAGACCAAAATCATTATGTGACACATGAAGTTTGATATTAAAAAAAAAAAAAGTGAAAACGAAAAGAATACATGTAAGAAGCCTAAATTAGCAAACTAAAGCAACGGCTAAGAACACTATTAGATTGTCTTGACAGTTACTCACAAGACAGAGACATTTAATGTGTCTTTGCAAAAGTGGGGCTGTGCAGGAAGAACCCTTCTAGAAACTGTCACAGAAGTCTGGCCCACACAGAAAAAGCCTCACAAAAGCTGCTGTGGACAGCACAGGTTAGGACTGTGTTTTGGTATTCAAGAAGTGTGGCATGCCAGCAAACTGAGCAGATATGCAAAACTGCAGCTGCTGTAATAAACTTAAATCCCAAGTATTAGCAGAAGCTTCTATCTTTGAATAAATTATTTAATTGCTCATATGCCTTGATATGTTTGGGGAGAGAGCTGACAACGTGTCATATGTTGCTGGTATATTGTGGTTCTTACATCCCATGTCCAAAAATTTCTTTCCCTAATTAAAAAATTAAGGTCAGAAAGCACAGAATGACACATGCATTCATTTTGGGGCAAGGATATTCAGACCAAAATGGTAATTCAGATTAGAAATCACAATTATTTTCACACCTGCCTTTCCTATTCAAAGAAAAATGTGAGTTAACATTTTAACTGTTATAAACAGCCCAAAAGAAATAAATGAATGCAGTTTCATTTACAAAGACTGATTTATTCAGTCTTGCTCTTTATGACTTGGAATGAGATTAAAATAACTGACCTCTTTAGATGCCTATGTTTTCCTACACATCTGGTCTCTTCTGATCTCTCAGAACCAGGCTAGGACCTGATTCTTCTAAATTGGAGGCAAAAGATAGCAGCTCAGTAGACACAGCCACAGATGCAGTCTATAAACCCAGAACAGCATATAGCATAGCTATTTCTGTCTTGGGCCTTTATCACTTCATCTTCTATTTAAAAATACTCCCAGTATTCATCTGCATATAAGCATAAAATACTGCTGAAACCATTAATATACTAAAAATTATAGTCAGCTTTCCAGAATTAGAGAGGAAGACTGTATTATGATACCCAGGCTAATGGAAAAAAGTAAGATGGGATGAATACTAAGGAAAAGAATCAGGACAGATATCACCCTATTTTTTTCAAAAGGGGCCAGCTAAGACCTAGTAGGGCTGGTACCAAACAGGAGCTACAAAGCCCAGGCAAACAAGCCTGATGCTTACACAACTCAGTGGTCCTTGGGCTCGGTAGTGTGTTAAGCAGAGCGAGATGCAGGGATGCTTGCCCTAGATTTGCATGCAGACAAGTCAGGTCCAGCACAATTATTACTGTACACCATGTGAAAGCAACTATGGTGCTTCCCAACCAGCTGACGGAGGAAGCAATATGGATACAGACATGGTCCTGGGCCTGGACCTCAATTGTCTAATGTAGAGCTACTACATATGCCTCTACGCTGGCTTTACAATCCACCTACAATGCCAATAAAAGATCCATGGATACCTGAGAGCTGTTTGCATTCAGCAGAATCTTTCCAGGAACTCCATAAGGCAGTAACTAAATGAATATCCTATCCTGGCTACTTGCATTAAAAACAAATTACTTTAAAGAATGGTTACTTTTCTGAAATTAATAAAATCTAAATTATTTCAGGACAGAAGATACAGAATATAGCGTAACACTTCTGAAAAGAAAACAACAAGCAATATGAGATAAAGAAAAATTCCCCGTTAACTTCTCTTCAAATAATTTTTAAAAAATATTAATGGGATACATTTCAATAGTCTAAGGTACCCAATGCATTCTTGAAATCTTCATTAAGTCTACCAGTGGTTCTGGGAATTAGGTGTTGTTATAAACACCCCCATTTACAAAGAAGGAAATAGAAGCACACAAAGATTAAACACCTGATACAAAGCCATTGCAGTCACTGGAAAATAAGTCAGGAGGCATTGGATGAGAGCCTAAGCAATTGCTCAAGGTGGTAAGGAAGTCCACGGCACAGATTTTAATACAGATCTTTTGTTCCCAGACTATTGCAACATTCACTTCTTTTCTATTCAAGTAGAATTGGCTGTGATTAACATAGGGTGTTTAACGACCCCAAGAGGCCTCTGCATCAGTCCCATCTCATTTGACATTAACAGGGGCTCAGTTCTGTAGAATACACGTAACAACACGAGCCTTCAGTTTAGTGTGAGCTGCTAAAAATCTGCTATGTCCGGTCTTGTTTTTCACAGTAGATTCCCACCAATGTTACGTTTAATGTAGGGAATTTGCCAAGGTCAAAACGCAACAGGGAGCGCTTATGCAGGAACCGTAAGCAGGTCTCAGGCTTCAGAACGTTATTTTCATTGTAAAAGTTACTATAGTATTATTCAGTAACGCTGCTAATACTGACCAGAAACAAATACAAATCCATCAAAAATCTGTACAGCAAGTTGAGACCAGGCCACGTTTATTTAATAGGGTTTCCCCAGAGCTGCTACTGCCTAGTCAGGTCTGCAGATTCCTTCTGGGAGAGCAGATCCATAGTGCTCCACAGAGACCCACCGATTCACCCAGCAGTCCAGGCAAGTGCAAGGCTGCTGCCCAACAGCTGCGGAGGAGACAGAGCTTGTCTGGCTCCTGGGACCACCAGGAGATGTCCGATGTTGCCTTCTGGTGCACAAGCAGGCAGTCGCTTTTGATTCCATCAAAAGCAAGGAATCTAATTAATAAGGTAAGAAATTCTTTATCTCTATCTACAAAACAGTATTAATGCTGTCAATACAGACTACGAGAAAACCTAAGAAAAATTAATAAAAAATACTAAATTACAAAAAGGACTATGCTTCTAATGGTATGCAAAACAGTTTGTATATTTGAGAAAAGACGAACAGTCACTGCAAGGAAGAGTTTTTAGAATTGCCCTCTTTCTTCATGAAAAAGAGTATATGGGTTTATTTAACCTGGTCAGATAACTTTAACAAACACTTCATCGCATCTATTCCCTTTCAGATTGTGTTTTAGCAGTGTATTACTTTCATCAAGCATGGAGAATTTTGAACCTGGAAAAGCCTTCTTTCCCTTTTATATCACACTCCCTCGAGAGTATACCATTATTTAAAATTCGATTCCTTCAATATATATTGTTTTAAAAAGCACCCTCACAGTCTGACAGGCAAAACCTCCAGAAAATAATTCTTCAGTGACAATGTTCCCAAAAGGAATCCAACTTCAACTAAAATTTGAATAATGTGAGCAGGAAGTAGCTGGAAATGTACATTAATGAATAATTGTTCAATTCATGTGACAGGGATCATCCTCCACTAGAAATGACAGTTGCACTGGAACGATAAAACAGCAAAGCAGACTGTAAAATAGTGGTACTCTCCAGCGAAGATCAGCATGCAGGACACATTTTCAACTCAAACCTAAAAAGTCTTCAATCCATTTTCCTACCCAGCATCCTTCAAGTAACACATCAATATGACCTATCTGTTCTGTCTTTTTGATTCAAAGCCTTTGTAAGAGTAGTCACGAACCATGAAAAGTAGCCTGATTTGCAGTGGTAATGAGGAAAATCCCAATTCCCACCAAAATCAAGATGAAATCACCCTGATATTTAAGGGACAGCCAAACTGCTTAGCACCAGAGTAGGCTGGAAGACAAGAATTTCTATTTGCAAAAATATTCAAAGGCTTTCTCCCATATGAGTCATCTGCTGAGAAGATCACATTCAGTCCCCCGCTTTAGCCAATTTGGGGTCCTCTTCACTTGGCTACACTCACTCAAGCTGACCAAATAAATGTGTTTTCAAGGGAATCTCCACTCCAGAACTGCCAATTTCTGGTTGGTGAGGGCAGTCAGTAGCAGGGGAGGGAAACAAGTTTCTGCCTCGAGCCAGGCATAGAAATTACTGAGATTCTTTCTACCAGCTCAACGCATTTAAGAATCAGACTGAACACATGAATTTAAGAAATTGGGCTTGCAACAGCTTACAGGGACTTTGGGCTTTGTGCTACTTTAAAATATTTCCGTTGGACATTTCTCTGAGAGAATGTGTTTTTAAAATCTAATATGTAGAGAAGCAAAGTACTTACAGAATAAAGTTTTGTCTTTGACATCAAAGAGAATAAATCCAACTACTGGCAGAGTAATAGTTCTCCACATTATAAGTATCAAGTTTGAAGCTTCCTCATGCTAGGGACAATGAAAGAATTTAACCCAACTTGTCTACCCAGGCCAGCTCTTGCAGATTTACCAAGGCATGAGGGGTTACGAGCCTCCAGACCTCTCACTGACACCTTTTTCCTATATTTTAGCCTCTCACTGTGGCACAGATAAATACGGTTTCCTTCTAGCTGCTCTACATAGACAACATTCAGAGTGCAGCTGTATCAGCACAGAGGGTGTGTTAACATCCAATAGATAGGTGGAAGAGGAGTTGTATAGGAAGCAAAACTCTTAAATGGCATATTCTGGAAAAGGAATAATAATGGGAGAGTAGACAGCTCTGTACATGCAGACGAACATGCAGTAGCAAACTAAAATCAGATGACTAAAGCTACCACACTCCTACCCATCCTCTCTATCCATTTGATAGCAGATCCTAACCCAGGACAAGAGCATCTGATCTGCTAGTCAATCAGCTCCACAGCATGCCTACTGCCAAATTTGTGCCAAACCTCCAAATGTAATAACGGACCAAAAAAAAATAAAGCCACTTGCCCAGGTAATAAAGCAAGCTAGAGTCAGCAAGCTATTGTATAAGAATAACAATACACCAAGAACCCCAAGTCAAGTGTCCTCATTTATCTAGTCACACTGACTTTCTCAGATGTTAATCCTAATGCAGATCACAGGAAAGCCCATCTCTACAAAGCTTGTCAACCCTGAAAAGAAAGCTGGCTCCTTTGCACAGTGGTTTGGGGGTAAACAGTGTCATTATAAGCCAGCCACTTACAAAACAGTCAGCAAAAGTTGCAAACAGTTGTATACACACACTTACAGATTACACATGTCAATCCTGGGAGGAGACAACGGCAGTAGTTGAAGTAGGAGCTTTACTCCATTCTTCCATTCTTCCTCTTTCTCAAATTCACAGAAAAGGTAGGTACATTCATCCGCTGAGAACTGGTAGAAAGCATGAGTGTCTTGAAAATAGAGTTGTCTGTCCACTGTTAGAAAAAAATAACATTAGATAGCCTTTAAATCTTTACCATGTAAAGGTTCTGTGTCCCCACCACATTCCGTATTACACTTGAATTTAATGTTGAGTTGCACCACCACACAGGGCAAAAGGATCGCAAACTCAGCATAGAAGCAGTCCCACCCTCTCATATAAACTCAGTGCATCCGAACAGGACAATGCCAAAACCTCAATTTGAATATCCCCAGGCTCCTGAAATTCAGGCATTAAGACTGCTGAGTATTTAATCAATTTTGGAATCAGTTCAGAATTAGGAGCTAAGAACCTTCCACTTGTCAGATTTCTGAGCCTCAATTGCCATTGGCATCTAATCTGTTCTCACTAATGGCCATGCACTAGTAAACAAAGTTCAATAATGGGGATGCAGCCCATCATTATCCCAGCTTCTCCTCAAATTCAGGGCTACTGGATTTGTAGACTAGACCTGGGTAAGATGGTGCACTAGTACAACTGTCATCTTCCCTGGCATAACTGGGATTAAACTGGGTTCAAAGGATGGGGTCCAAGGCCAAAAGCACAAGCTCCTGCTGGGACAGCAGCCCTTGTTGTGGCTGCATAGCCAGGCATAGTGTCAGTGTAGCTGGAGCAGAAGAAAACCTTTAAGTATACTGTCAGTGTACATAAGCAGAAATCTTCCATAACACCTCACCTTTTCACGAGGAGGAAAGTTAAGTGTCTAGGACAGACCCCAGGGCAGGGTATGCTCTCAGTTGAGCTACCTAAGTAGTCCCAGCTACAAAGTAAAGTCCATCAGATTTCCAGAGGTTAGTCACCAGTGTAATTATTGCCAACCATATTAGCTGGACCAAACCCCTAAATTTGATGGGGAAGGTGGGGACAGATGGGTAGAACCTGGCATCACTACCATCTCAAGGAGCTGAATCCTCTGTCAATCCATATCTAAAACTATGAAAAACAGAGAGAGGAAGGGAAAATCACTAATAGCCAGAGAAGTCATTTGGCAAAGCCGTGATCTGCAGTGGCTAAACAGCTGCTGTCTTATGAAAAACCTAAAAGAGCTTGAGGAGGAAAAAAAAATAGGCTGGAAAATACACACATGCTGTCTGCAACTTGGTAACATGTAATTACATTTGCAAAAGGAAAAGGAAGAAAATTGCCTAAAAAAAAGAGATTAATCTTTGGTATTTATGAAATGAAAGGTCACAGAGGTGAGCCTACCAAAGAGTAAAATAAACAACTGTCAAGAAAAATGGATCAATCTGCATTTTTTTTCTTTCCCTCCTTCCTCTCCCATCAAAAATGTGAGTCTTCTCCTATGCAGGAAAAACTGACAGCCTTCCTCACGCTAGAAGTACTATCAAGACTGACCTGATAATATAATGCCCATATCCAGGAGGAGCTGCCACACTCCAGCTGCTGTAGATCTGCACTTAACAAAAGGGCACTGCTCCAAAAGCCAGTCTACCAGTTCCGATCCAATACAGCTTCTCCTGAAAGTAAGCAAAACATAACTTCTTACACTACAGTAATGTTAAAATGTTCTTATATAATAAAAAGCTATTTTTTTAAAGCTATTAAAAGTGAATCCTTTTGTTCAGCAGGGCAAACCCTTTGCCTCAATTACTAATTTTGTAATCTTATTCATTTCAAGGGAAGAAATTATTCTGGCCAGTCTCAGGTGATGCCCCTAGTTACAATGAGGGAACTCATGTTATATGAGTAAGTTCCCTTACGTACCTAATTCATGTGGCACACTTTACAATACATAATATTTTTATCAATTTGTGCTGCATACAGACAGTCATCCAAAGATGTATAAGAGCTAAATAAAATCCAGCTTTTAGCCTCAGGATTCTATTTCCTTTCTGAGGATAAGCATAAGCAATACAGCTATGCAATATATGTTTAAGACCTTGAGTATTGCTCTAGGATGTGCTTCATCTTTCACATTATTGGTAAACTTATTTTTTAAATCACAAGTTGTGGCTTTTTCTTAAATACAGATATGAATGAATGGTGCTGTAATAGAGACCTGCATTTGGCATAACCAAAAATAGGAGGAAGCATTTATGCTGTAATGCAACATAAATGGAAAATCACTTCATGACAGAAATTTTCTATAAATTATGTGCAAAAATCACTGTGTAACTAAATCTCAGGAATCCAATTAATCTCTTTTCTAACTCCAGACCAGGGTTGAATTTAATACTCTTTCTTTTCAACAAAATAACAGACAAACACAAATGTATATGAAATCATAAGCAATTAAATTAATGGACATACAATTGGGCCACTGCTCCTTTCTGACAATTGACAAAGTAACATTAGAAAAGATATTAAAACACATGAGATTTTAAGAATTTTTTAGAAAATATTTTCAAGTCTTAATAATACACACAACATTTCACTCTCAGAATTTACTCTCTTGTCAAATCAGGGCATAGACAAATGCAAATAAAACCCATCCAGTTGATTAAAACGAATGATCTTGGGTTACCTGCAAATGCCAGTAAGGTACACCCTGTCTTTAATCAGGTCAGATGCTTGTAGAGTAAAAATATTCCTGAGAGCTCTCCCAGCACAGGAAGAACTTTCTCCATAAATCTGAATGAAAGAGAAATTGAAAACTATGACAAACAGGGATTTATTCCTGCTGTAGTAAATTGCCTTGCCACTGTCCACTCCCTCCCTCTCAGCATTGCCTTCTCCCCAGCTAAATGACAAGCAAGCAGTCAAAGCCTTATAGGAAATGCACCCCAACTTCTGTCATACCCAGTTGTATCATGGGTTGCAGATGCCCCCACGAGCTGGACTACTTTTATATTTGCTGCCTTAGAAAAGCAGAGGTTTTACTATCTGTCAGCTTTACTTTTGAACAACAGACAAGTTCAAATGAAAAAAAGTGTTATTCTAGCAAAGCGAAAAGACTATATTAACCATTGCAAAACCACAAAAATACAGTTAAAATTAAGCATTATTCCATATGTATTTGAGTTAAATATTTTAATACAAGCCTAATACACAGTGTAACACCATTTCATAGTTTCTTCTTTTTGTTCAGAAACTTTGGAGGTATCCTATGATAGCTACAGGTCATTTCATCTGTACCTTGCCAGGAGGATGTGGTCTTTCAGAATGGACACACCTCTGACTTCCCTCACACCTGATTTCTACCTTACTACCTCAAGGGTGCAGATGTGTCTATCAAAACAGGACCCAACTCCATCTTCCATAAAACCATGTTCCAACTGGACTCCATATACTACTCCTTACTGATGAATTTAACTCATGCTTCTGTTGTGATGTTTTCTCACCATCCCAGCAAAACACATCAGTAACACAAATAACTAACTTGAAAGAAAAAACAATGTTGCAGTTTCACCTTTTTTTCTTTTGTTTGTTTGTTTCCTATGTTTAGAAATCTTTCAAGGAATATAAAATAGCCCTGAGACAGTAAAGTCTTGTGAGATGCAAGAACAGAGCTCTCAAATATTGCAAAAAAACCCAAGGGTGGCAATCATTTAAATGGCTGTGAAGTGAGTGTACATCGGAATTCAGAACAATTCAGTTTGCAAATTCAGTAATAGAAGTAGACAGTTTCTAACACACACAAATTATAACTTGTTAACTGGATTGAACTGCAGGCCCCATTCACAAGTGTCTTCGAAGCTATGATTAAGAGGTTGAACCAACGCAAAAAGATTCCTAATAAGTTGTTTGAAGAAACGGAATTTAAAAGTACCTTGTTTGAAGGAGTTTCCAAATAGGGATTTGAAATTCTTCTGGACAGGGTCTGTAAGGCAATTTGGTAGAGCTTTAGTTTTGTTCTGGTTTTTGTACAGAAAAAAAGTAGCAGCAATCTAGGTCTTTTCCCTATTGAAACCTAAATAAAAAGAATTTATCAAATCATCTGAGTAGTCTAACCGAAGTCTCCAAATAATTTTTTTTTTTCCACACCAGGAAAAAGGTTTGGTAAACTCAATTCTGTGTTGTTTACTACATTTATTCTTAATCTGGAAAAAAAAGATAAGCAATGAGGGCGCAAAGTCTGTAGACAACACAGAATTATTTGGGTCAGGAAAGACCAGAAATGACAGTGAGGAATTTCAAGACAAACCTAAAAAAAAGCTAGGTGAAAAGACAGTGTCATGATGAGCTCAACATTAAAAGCAGCATGTACTAGAGGGAGAAAATGTAATTACACATGCTCTAATACCTCTTAAAGCAAACTTTATAAATTCAGTAAAGACACCTCAGGGTCCCAGAACACTTCTCAAGGAAGACCACTCTTAATGAAATTCTTAACTGTAGTTAAAAAAAAAAAATTAGGAAAAATGATGAATAAAATGGTGACCAGCAGGGAGGTAACGTTGCTCTAGTGTAGATCAGCATTATCTCTGCTGTGCCACATGCTGCACTGGTAACAGCATCTCAAAATATGGACACTCCGCTGTTAGAGAGGATTCAGACAGTAATAGCAGTAGGAATAATAAAGGATTTGGGTAAATTTTAATATGAGAAGAGGCAGGAAAGACTGTGACTATTTACCTTACAGAGGAGAGATTATGGGAGACATAATGCAATTATACAAAATAATGAAATGGCACAGCAAAAAGACAGACTTTCTGTACTCTGTTTCATGCAACATGAGAATAACCGATCACTCAATGAAATTAGAGAGGATTCATATTTGAGGAGATAGAAAGGAAAACGATACATAACTCTTCACAGCAGAGAAATGCAAATGCCAAAACCTTACCACTGATCAATAAAGATTGGGGATTTAAAGTTACAAAATTAACAGTAAACCGGAACTCTGGAAAGCAGAGACAGGATAAACATCTCCATGAGAGACAGGTTACCCCACTGTTACTCACCATGACACTTCCATATCTTGTCAGTGTTAAAAGACAAGATATTGTCTACTCAGATGCTTACTGGCAACTTCTATCTTGTTACAAGCCACACAAGACACAAATAAACATTGCCTAAAAGGAGTCTGGAAGTGGAATAGAAGATGTTCTGCAGGTGCACAGGCAGCACAATGGGAGGATTGTGTGGTGCTCTCTCACATTATTCCTACTTGTAGGCAGCACAATTAATTCCTCGCTTTGAGAAGGATCCAATTCACACTTGGTATATTGTAATCATTAAAAAAAAATTGTCCTTCACACCCTGTAAGAATTACAGAATCCATTTTTCAGTAATGCCACCTGCTTTTTTTCCCCCTATGTTCTTGTTACTGTATTTTTAGAAAGGGAAGGGAAGTGACAAGGAACCACAGAAGCATCTAACGCTGTTTACCCTTCCACGCTCATCACAAATGTTAGTGTAGTTCCATGTGTAACAGTAGCTCTATATGGAAATACTGTAACGTAAAAGCTTAATTCCCCTCTCCCGCACCCAACAAAGATGCCGTAAGAGTGCAACATTGCCTCGGATCCCACTTACTGTTCCTAGCCAGCACATCCTTAACACCTTGGTTCTGCAGCAGCCCTACATACCACCACTTCACTTGGTTTCTGTCCAAGTCTTTCATTCAGCAAGCCTCACTCACTGCAGCAGCACGGTCGAAGCTTACACATCGATTTCCTCCCTCCCCGCTCCATTCCCAGGCTGGTGCTAACAACATTATCATCAGCAAGCTAATTCCAGCAATGCCGGTGGGAACTACAGCCCCTGGCATTGCACTGGCCTGGTCCACGGCATTCAGAAGACAGCTGAGCCTCAGCCAGGCAAAATGCTGCTACTGCAGGGTGCAGTAACACAACAGCATAAGACCAAACTCAGCAAAAAGGCCAAATTTTGTGGCCTTCTACAATGGTGTTACAGCATTGGTGGATAAGGGAAGAGCGACTGACGTCATCTACCTGGACTTGTGCAAAGCATTTCACACTGTCCCACACACAACCTTGTCTGTAAAATGGAGAGACGTGGATTTGGCAGGCGAACCACTCAGTGGATAAGGAATTGGCTGGATGGTCGCCCTCAAAGAGTTGTGGTCAATGGCTTGATGTCCGGGTGGAGACCAGTGATGAGCGGTGTCCCTCAGGGGTCCAGGACCAGTATTATTTTACCACCTTTGTTGGCGACATGGACAGTGGGATTGAGCACACCCTCAGCAAGTTTGCTGATGACACCAAGCTGTGCGGTGTGATTGATACCCTAGAGGGAAGGGATGGCATCCAGAGGGACCTTGACAGGCTTGAGAGAGAGGCCTATGGGAACCTCATGAAGTTCAACAAGGCCAAGTGCAAGGTCCTGCACATGGGTCGGGGCAATCCCAAGTACAAATACAGGCTGGGCGATGAGTGGATTGAGAGCAGCCCTGCGGAGGAGGACTTGGGGGTGTTGGTGGATGAAAACCTGAATATGAGCCACCAATGTGTGCTCACAGCCCAGAAAGCCAGTTGCATCCTGGGCTGAATCAAAAGAAGCGTGACCAGCAGGTCGAGGGAGGGGATTCTCCCCCTCTACTCCACTCTCGTGAGATCCAACCTGGAGTACTGAGTCCAGCTCTGGGGGTCCCAGCATAAGAAAAACATGGACCTGCTCGAGTGGGTCCTGAGGAGGGCCACAAAGATGATCAGAGGGCTGGAGCTCCTCCCTTACGAGGACACGCTGAGAGAGTTGGGGTTCGTTTAGCCTGGAGAAAAGGCAGCTCCAGGCAGACCTTATAGCAGCCTTCCAGTACTTAAAGGGGGCCTACAGGAAGGATGGGGAGGGACTCTTTATCAGGGAGTGTAGTGGTAGGACAAGGGGTAATGGTTTTAAACTGAAAGAGGGTAGATTTAGATTAGATATAAGGAAGAAATTCCAGGGAGTCTGCAAAAGGTGACTGAGGCTGCAAACTAGTAGAGAAAAAAATAAAAAAAATCTAGTTTATCCTTCAAAGCACACAGTGCTAGCTCTGGTGCAGCAGGTAGAGAAAGAATTCGCAGCCCTGAAATGGGAGAAGGGAAGACAGGACAACAGTTTCTGTCAGTGGCAGCCTGAACCCATATCAGCTTGAAGCAAGCATGAAACATTGGAGAGCCCAGGAGAGTACATTTAGCCTGCCGTGCAGGAATCTATACACACATAATTTCTACAAATGTAAGAAAATGGAAATTGCATAGGAGAAAATAAAACAAAAGTAGAAGTGGCATTCTGGAATAGAAAAAAATATCTTTCTTGTTGATGCTAGTGTAGCCTGTGTAATGTTGACACACTCACTGCAGTTAGACTGAAATTCATGTCAAATTTTAGGAGTTTATGTCCTAGCTACTAAGCTAGATCCCCTTTTCTTTTCTTTTCCTTTGTTGTTTTGGTTTTGTTTGTTTGTTTTTTAAACTTGCCTCAATAAATATTTATCTAGCACACAAACCCTTCATTTTGTGTTGCTGAGCACAGCTCTGTTCAGCAGACTCTTCTTTGGCTGTTAGGTACAAACTGGGCAGTCCCCTTCCAGAGAGAGGAAGAAGAGGGAGCGGATCGGGGGTCCAGGCTTAGTTGAAAACCCCAACCTTCAGGCTGCTTTGTGGGGGAAGCACCACTCCTCCCTGAAGGTATTTGGTAAATATAGGCTGCTCCTCCCAAATGATTTTGACACACCCCCCCCAATGCAAATTACATTTGCAATAACTCTTAGAATGAGCCAAAACGTGCTTTTAAGGTAAATTCCTTAGCCATCAAGTAAACAACTCATCTCTCATGAAAACTACCTTGGAACAGCTATACCCACACTAAGTGCTGCTTTCCAGGCACTACCACCCCGGCATCCCTCTGTGCCTTTTCACCAGGTTGAGGAGAAGCTTTGCCAAACCACACGTTAGGGAGGAAATGGGGACGTGGTAGCATGTATGGTCCTGGGATGGGACACCGTATGTGGAGCAGATTCAGAGCACTGGGTGTCCTCCAGGAGGACTCTCCTGTCGTACATGAATAGGTGTGCACAGATGGCTTCAGCTTCCCTGCTGGGGATGCAGGAAGAAAGAGGCAGGGAGCTGATGCCTTGGGCTGGGCGATCAGGAGCATGAAGTATGAACGTGGCACAGGGATGGCATTCTAGCTTGGGGACACAACTTGCATGTGACAGGAGAGGACAGTTGGGACACGTGGCCCAGGAGAAGGTTTTGGAATAGGACTGCTAGGATCCAAATCTGAATACACCACAGATAATTTAGTCTGAAATTGGGAAAAATTATAAGGGAGTTTACTGTGGTATTTAAAACCACCAGAAGTGCAGGGAGTAGAGCAATGGTATTAAAAGAATGGGAGGATTAGAATAAAGTGACCAGCAAGTAATTTAAAACAACCAGAAGGAAATACTTCTTTACAATCCATATGACCAGCTCATGGAATTATTGCCCAAAGAATCAAATACTCCAGCTGGATTTTTAAAAGCAGTAGCTAATTCAATGACTGATACTACTATGCAAGGTCTGTATCTGGGTTTAAATTAGTATTGCTTCAGCTGGACAATTATTTTTAAACAAGTTGAGAATCTCTGCCATTATTTAAAGCTAAGCGTGCCAAGATATTGATAATATTTTTAATATATGATCACAAACTGATTTTTGAAAGTTTTGGAAAGAAATTCCCCCATGACATACTACACAACAAGCAAAGTGTACTAATGAAGGCACATTTTGCTCTCCATTGGAAAGATCAAGCTATATCTTATTGTGAGGTGCTGACTTAGTTCTTTATTCAGTTCTTTCCTATACTCCACTATAGCAACTCCCTATGCATTTACTACAACCTGGTTAATGCTCTAATCAAGGACTAAAGATACTATAGAGCATGTTTTCA